TGACAGCGATTACCTAGAATTTCGTTACTAAGACCAATCTAAGTCCTAGTTTCCTCGGCGCCCAGATCGTGATCTACCGTAGGGCAGAATGGAGATGTTTGCAGATCGTTAGTCAGTGTTGGTTTGACTTGGAGATCACCACGATATCCGGACCTCCACCATCATACAGTTGTAGACGATTCAATTCATCATGTAAATACATAATTCATGACAGAACAGAATATGGTCATATCAAGATCCATCTCCAGCAACTGTTCACGGCCCCTGTGGTGTTGCAATGTTCCTGCCTCAGGCACTAACTCCTCACGTGTCTCCGATAGCGGCCCCTGAACCAAACCTCACCTCATCAACCAAGCCAGGGATATCATCATCTCCCGAAGCTTATCAGTCCATTGCGGCGCCACACGATAAGCTATCCAGGAACACCGTCGGCCTACCTATCACCATGTGTGCTCTACACACTAGCTTCATCCTTCGCGCAGCCTTTACCAGCTAGCTGGATGATGGTACATGATTCACCATGAGTCATGCAACAATATCCATCCATCCATCAAGATGATGGTCAAAATACCCTCAAGACAGCTGTCGCTATATAAACCGCAATGACAGCCTCAATCATCATGGCCTACATACTCCCAACGAACCGCTCCCACCCACTCTAGCCCATGACCACGACAGCCACAACACCAACACAACCACCACCAACAATGACGACATCGAACCTCCCACCCCCCCTCTCCTCAACCAGCATACTCACCCTCCTCACCACCCTCTCCCTCCCCCCACCAACAACAATAACCCCCCTCGCCGTCTCCGCCGCCTTCCACACAATCTACCTCATCCACTACGCCCCCTCCGCCGCCGCATCCGCCACGCCCCCAATCCGCGCCCGCGCAGACCCCTCCGACGGGAGCATCACCCTGGTGCTGCGCATCTCGGGGACCCAAATCCCCCGGATAAAGACCCTCAACGAAGTGGGTGTAATGACCTGGGTGCGACGGAACACTTCCATCCCCGTTCCCGCGGTGATTGCCTACTCGGCGAGTCGAGACAATCCCCTCGGGTATGAATTTACCTTGTTGGAGCGGGTGCCGGGCGTGTCTGTTGCGGAGGTGTATGAGGGTCTTGATGAGGGGAGGAAGAGGAGGTTGGTGGAGCAGGTGGCGGGGTTTGTGGCGGAGTTGCATGGGAAGCCCTGGGAGGCGGGGTATGTGGGTGGACTGCAGTTAGCAGCCCATTGTGGTGATGATGGGGATGAGATAGTGAGGGGTCCGCCTATTGAGGAGACGTATTGGCAGACGCAGGATGTGGAGACATATTGGGCTGGAATGGGTGAAACGCTGGAAACGCTGAATCCGTTCAAGAGTGATGGGTATGCGAGTTACACAGAGTATAACATTGCGTGTGTGGAGCGGTATATCCGTGCTATATCCATTCATCCATCACTATCCACACACAGGGATTTAATCACTCGGTTGGAGCAGTTCATCCCGGTTATTGGGTCTGATGACAGGTTGAATGATGTACCTTATGTGTTAGCCCACAAAGACCTCCACTTCGCAAACATCATATGCGATCCATCGTCTCCCGATTGTCCCATCACCGGCATCCTGGACTGGGAGTTTGCAAGCGTGGTGCCGGCGCCGCGGTGGAATCCGGTGCGGGCGTTCCTGTGGAATTATCGGTATGGGGTAGAGGATAAGGCCGAGAGGGATCGGTTGGAGGGGGTGTTTGAGGATGTGTGTAAGAGTAGGGGGCAGGGGTGGGTGTTGGAAAGGATGAAGTTGAGTGAGAGGCAGGAGGGGATGCAGAGGGTGGTGAATCATGTTAGGGCTATTGTGGAGGTGGGTGTGAAGGGGGCGGGGGAGGAAAAGGAGGGGAAGGTGAGGGGGTGGAGAGAGATGGTGGAGGAGGGACTGAAGTTATTCAATGTGTGAGTAGTCATGGGATGTGTGTATACTACTTATGTACCTCTAGCAGCTCAATCCTGGGATACTACAATTGAATGTACATGCATTAACACTCCATATACAACCCCTCCATAATACATATACAGTAAATATAATCACAACTTCGCCTCCCTCTCCAATTTCTTCAACTCCCTCCTCAATATCTTCCCGGACGGATTCCTCGGAATACTCTCCACAAACCTTACACCCCCCCTCAACCTCTTATACCCAATAACCCTCTTTTCCACGAACTCCACGATCTCCCTCTCCAACCCCTCACCCCCCTTCCCAACAACATCCCCCTTAACCACAACATAAGCCCTCGGCAACTCACTCCCCGCTAACCCACTCTTCACCCCAACAACCCCCACATCCTTCACAGCCGGATGCCCCAGAACAATCCCCTCCAACTCGGCCGGCGCGACCTGGAACCCATTATACTTGATCAACTCCTTAACGCGATCGGTGATATAGAAGTTCCCTGCTTCATCCTCGTACCCCACATCCCCAGTCTTGTAATATCCGTCTTCGGAGAAGGATTCCTTATTCGCGGTGGGGTTGTTCAAATACCCGAGGAAGACGTTGGGGCCCTTCACCCAGAGTTCTTTCTCTTTGTTATCTTCGTCGTGAATGGGATGGTATTTGGCTGTCATGTTGGGGATGAGTCGGCCGACAGAGCCGGGGTGGGTGTGGGCTTCGGACCAGGTCTATCTTTTGTTAGCATTGTGGTTTACGATGTCAAAGGGGGAGATTTGGGGAAAGGGAGAGAATGTACCTGAAAATGAATAGCAGGCGCACACTCGCTCATCCCATATGCCTGACGAACAACAAGACCCAACTTCTGCTTCGCAGCGTGGATTAAATCCACAGCAAGTGGTGCCGCAGCAGATACCACCATGCGCAAGGAGGAAAGGTCGTAGTTCTTAGTGGCAGCGTTGGAGACCAGCTCCAGAATAACGGGGGGCACGACGTAGGCGTACGTGATGCGATGGCGCTGGATGGTATCGCAGAACGAGGGGAATTGGAAGCGCGGGAGGACGTACATGGGTACGCCGGTGTAGATGGTGTAGTTGAGGAGGAAGCCGATTCCTATATCACACCCATGAAATTAGTATAGTGGCGGAAGTGGGAAGGGGTTGGCTGCGGAGGGGGCATACCGTAAATATGAAAAAACGGCAGAATGCCCAGAATGCGATCTTGGTTCCAGACCAGCTGGCCCTGCTCGGCAACGGCACTTTGCACCATGTTGGCGACCATATTGCGGTGCGAGAGCATCACGCCCTTAGGTAGGCCGGTCGTTCCGGAGGAGTAGACGAGGAAGGAGAGGTCTTTTTCGGGGTTCTGGATCGGGGGACGATGCGGTGCGACGCAGTCTGTGTCTTTGATAGTCGCCCATAGTGAATCTAGTTGATCGAGAAGGATGATACGGTCGCGGGAGAGGCCGGCACGGTCAATGGCTTCGTATACGATTGGGGCTTGCGCGGTGGTAGTGACGATGGCTTTGGCGGCTGCATCGATCAGCGGATGGCGCAGTTCTTCGGCGCGATAGCTGGGATTGACCGGGCAGACGACGCCGCCGATGGCCAGGGTACCCCAGATCAGCGGGGGCAGGTCAATGGCATTCGGGGCGAAGACGACGAGCACGTCGCCCGGTTGCCAGGACCATTTGGATTGGAGGTGGTGGCCGAATTGGAGGGCGCGTTGGCGGATTTGTTGGAAGGAGAGGCTGCGGTTGGTGAGGGGATCGACGAAGAGGGCTGTATGGGATTAGGATTGTTGATATCTGGCATGATGCGATAGTGGAGAACGTACGATGGGAGAGTGGATACGGCCGATCTGAACGCTCGAAGAGAAACGACCAGAGGTCGATGGAGGGGATCTCCACGTCGGGAAAGGGCGATAGGGAGATGGTAGCCATGGCGTAGTTCAAGTAGAAGATAGATAGAAAGAAATTGGGGCAGGGGATAGAAGGAAGGAATAATAAATATTGGACTAATTTGATTAAGCCCGGGGCTGTCATGCAAGAAAGTGGATCATGTAGCTTCACGGGCCATCTCATTGTTGCCTTCACAACGGAAATGAAAGCCGGCAGACTGCACTCACAGCAGTTTCCTTTCCCTTTCTACTGATCGGGATTACTTCTCCGTTGTTAATTCATTATTTCCAACAATAGAATCACCATCGGCCTGGCCACATACTCCGTAGTATGGGCAGCGTGGTGATGTGCATGCACCGGGGCGACGCCATGATTGGGCCGAGGTGATGCTGGGATGATTTGCCATCGCCGGCCCATCCGAGTGATCGTCAATACGAGATCATCCTATCACGGCGCATGTAGACTTACACAGCAGTAATTTATCTGCAGCTTATCTCCAGAACGCGTTTTATATACTAACGCGTTTTATATACTCCGACTAGCCGAGCTGAGTCTGTGGCGAAGGCTCACTATCCTGCCATCGTCGGTCTAGGATCAATGGTGTGGACCAACCCTAACAACATGCCGGATAAACCACTACCCCCTTTCTTGGATAGAGGGCCAAGCAGCAGCGGGCGAAATACGATGTTCATTGGAGTCATATACATGCACTATCCATTCCTCTGTATAGCACGATCTGCAATCTCTGAATCTCAATCAGAATTCGATGAATTGTCTGTCCGCATCATCACCAGATCATCGGTCCACCTCAGCCGCATTTTCACATGCAACGTCAGCCGCAGTCCCCATCCACAGACCAGATCTTACCCTCGACAATTGGATTTATTTGATCAGACTAACCATGGTCTTGCATAACGTGAGCTAACTAGCACAACTCAAACAATAAATGCATCCCCGAGACATAGCCAGTGTGTAACGGGCAAGTTGTTGCACCTTCCCGTGTGGTGAGGGCCGTAGCTCAGTATCCACCATGTGACTTTGTCTTCATCTGAGAGTATTGTCTGATCGGACTATTAGATGGAATTTGTCTTCTGTTCTCAAATCATTGGCAGATAGACGAACAGGTCTATGGCACGAGTTATATCTGCTCTCTCGGATATATAAGCAGGCATTGTGATCAGTATGCACATTGATTGTCGTGCTCAGCACGAAATTATACGGATTCTATGGATTGTGCTTTTATATACATTAAATCGCCTCCCATTAGTCGTCTAGTCATCCAAGTTTTTTTCCAAGTAGTCTATGCATTGTTGGCGCACGAAAAGCTGGACCGGGAAGAGTCGTCGTGGATCGCCTTGCCGGACGCGTACAGACCAAGACCGCACTACACAATTAGCATGCGTTCACGCAGAACAAAGAAGAAGATAATACTTACCATAGCGGCACCAATGGCAAAGATGAGCATGTTGATGATAGTGAGAGCACACTTCTTCGGGCTCGACCACCACTGGCCGTAGTTCATGTGCAACCAGTAGACACCCGGCAGACCGAAACTGAACCAACTGGCAAACAGCGAACTAATCAGACTGACCAGGTTGCTGAAAGAGGGGATACCCTCGCCGATGATCCAAGCAATCACCCAGCAGGTCACGCCAATACCGATCCAGGATCCCACCGAGACCCAGTCGTTCTTGTGCATACGTCCCGACTTGCGGAAGATGCGCACATAGATGTACTTGAGACCAACATGTCCGTTGACCACACCAGCACCAATAATCTACACACATCAGAACAAATCCTCGAACACCGAAAGGGGGTAGACTCACAGTAGGAATGGCCATGCCGTAGGCCACCTTCTTCAAGACAGGACCAGCCGATCCGAGAGCCGGCGAGTCAACTCCGTTACCCACATAGTAGTAGATGACGATGGCGGCGGTGACGTAGAGAGAAATTTCGAAGCCCTGCAGCAGGCACAGCGCCTTGGGGAAGTCCTTGGGTTCCTCCATCTCGGCGATCAGACCGAAGAAGGCGACGTGGGCGCAGTAAGCAAACATGATCTGGGTCACACCACTGAATGCCGTATACAGGTTGGTCTCGGTAGTGATGCTGATGTTTTGTCCGCCCTTGTACTGCACACCGACACCGATCATGGTGATCATAACCGCAGAAAAGATACTCAGGAAGGCTAATCCATTAGCGTCGTCCTGCATAGATGGGAAACGGAAACCTACAGGCAGTGGAGATGTAGGTCAAGTTCTTGATGGTGCGGGGCAGCGAGAGAACCAGACAGATGACGAACGCGACGATACTGAACACAATGGAGCAGGTACCGTGATCGGTAATGGTGTTCATCATGACAGTGAAGGTGACAATGTGGCTACCCATGATGAAGATGGAGAAGAGAATCTGGCCCAGACCGAACAACTCCCGGCCAAAGCTGCCCATGAGGATCTCTCCCGCATCGGCAAGGTTGTGGATGTATGGGTGACGTTCACGGAATTGACCAATAACATAACCAGTGTAAAGGGCGAGGATACCAAGACCGATGATGAGAATGAGAGAGCTGCACCGGTTAGTCGCAGTGCAGGAGCATCGAGGCGCCGACTTACGGAACAAGACCCAGGGCTGTCATAGTAGCCGGAAGGGACAGGACACCGAGCGACACGGATTCAGCAATCATGACTAGGCTGGTTAGTATCTTGCAATCTTAAGTTATCGTCCTGGTCACATACACATTCCGCATTGCCTAGCACCATTAGCTTGTCGTCCATCATCACGCGCGACAGAAGTACTTACCACCACTTCAAGGTCTTGTACTTGACCTCCGCATTAGCTTCATCGCCAAATGCATCCACCTCGGGCGCACCATCAATCGCCTTGAGGTCCTCCACGTCCTCATCCTTCTCCCGCTGACTCTTGGGCTCAACCGCATCGGGCGGAGGGGCAACGCCGTCCAAACGCATCGTGACTAGAAATGGGAGCTGTGTCTAGTTGCAGATAGACGCAAGTGGCAGCAGCAGTAGCAGCAGCAGCTAAAGTGCCGATGAACGTGAAACTGATACTAAAAAATTCTCACGGGTGGGTCGATGACGATCTGGTCCTCCGCTGGTTGAGCCTCTGCAGGATGAGCTGCCGGCCACACAAAGGTCGAGGTTGAACACGGAGGAAGACGAAAGGCCAGATGAGAGAAGGAAGGAAAGAAGGAAGGAAGAACCAGAAGATAGAAAGATAGGTAGATACCCTGCCACGTTGAGTCGCGGTTACTACATCGGGGGGGAGCGCGGGCGTGGCTTGTCCGTTGAGAGGCCGAGGGCCGTGCCCACCCGCTAATTGCATCTGCATCTAGCTTTTTTTTTCCTCATACAATTTTCCTTATTAGCAGCATAGTTAGTTAGCCAGTATCGAAATAAAGAAAAAGGGAAGATCCTGGTGTTCCTGCCCCACAGGCCAGCAGTTTCTTTTAGTGTATTTTTAGCTGGTCGAGCCAATGAGGCAAAAGAGAGGTTAAAATTAAGTAACAGAAAGGCTCCCGCCCCGCCCACCCCTGCCGCGCCCCGACGATAGCCGCGTCTCCGCTGGACGCTGATTGGTGCGGTGACCATGGCCCTGGTCGGCTCGGTGGGATTCCGATTGTGCTTCTAGAAAGCATTGTTACATCTGCTTGCCACTTATCGCTTTTTCGGCCTGTTCATGACTGCCACAAATTACTGATCATTAGCTCATCGTTTGCTCGTCAGCTAATCGCTCGCTTCTGATTGATGGACATTGCTTTCCTTCTTGCATCTCGGTCTGCATTGAAAGCGAAATCCCCGCGGCAATGCTCCACCCGCTGCAGGCCATCTGCCTTGCCACCCACTACCTGCTCGCTTCTCCGGATATTGCTTGCGGGTTAGCGTCTGTTTCAACGATGACGGAGAACCGAGTTATCCGGGTGCCTAGGAAATGTGCCGCGTATTGGTAGGCTGCGTATCAGGCAGGTACCGGCGTGTTTGGGTCCGAAGAACAGCACACCATCTCTATCGGCGATGCTTTCTAGAAGAGCTTAAAGTTAAAAGTAGCTTGGGATAGTATTCTCCAATTAGATTTCATAGTTCACAAAGTATATGCTCCGCAGCGTTTCATTGGCAATGTGCTTGTTTCAATTGGCATCGTAGCTGCGGCCGAACGCCGCCATATGCACATATTGTTCTCCACACATACTAGTAGTAATACTGTCTTGGAGGTGGTGGTGCAACGATAGAAAAGCACCTCTGGTGGTACTGAATTGAGCACTAACTCTTCAGTAAACTTGGATTTAGCGGATTGCAGATCTGTAGTCTATTATTCTTATAATCCTATCTATGACAGAATAATCTTTCTCTTTTTGTCCATCTAGAGCCTGTACTCTGGGTTAATATATATCTCCATGATAAGGGAGACTATCTTCAGGCTTGCCCCTCATCTTTACAAACTTTATTATTATCTTTTTTCCTACGGGCCGTATTATCTTACATTAGTTCTCCTACATGTCAGAGACTAATCCAATACTTATTCTCATTATGTGACATATACCTTAAAAAATACTACTACTACTACTACTACTAAAAGTACTGTCTGACGGCTCAAAGTATTCAGTGACATCACATGTTCGCTTTGGCTAGTCTCTACCTAAACGGCATGTATCCACTGCAGCCTCACCGCGCCGTATACCCTCCATCAACAGGAATCACAGCTCCCGTCATCCAGTTGGCATCCTCACTCGCCAGCGTCACGGCCACCCGCGCAATGTCATCCGGCAACCCAGGCCCATTAAAGGGATGTCGTCGGATCAAGTCCTCCGCAGCATGCATATACTCCGTCGTCTCTTGGTAGATGGCTGTCCGGGTATCTACATGCCTTGTCAGTCATCACTCATGACTAACCCTAGAACGGAGCCTTGAAAACTAATGACGATACTTACAACCCGGACAAATAGCATTCGCATGGATGCGATCGCGCGCATAATCCAATGCCACCTGACGCGTGAGATTACTCACAGCCCCTTTGGAGGCACAGTAAGATGCTATCACAGCTTAGCATCATCATCATCATCATCATCGATATTGTGCTATGTGCATCAATTCAACCTACGATTCTCTGTCGCTGCCACGATCCCAAGAATGGATGACAAGTTGATGATCCATCCCCGATCGCCCGATGGATGCGGATCCTGCTTCAACATCTGCGTGATGGCATACTTGCTACCCAGAAAGACCGAGCGAGTGTTAATCCGCATGGTGGTATCGAACAGTTCATTGGTGGTTTCATGAATGCGAGCTGGGGTACGGGATTCCAGAGAGACTCCTGCATTATTGACCATACTACACATAGAATGCCAAGTCGTCAGTTTCCATGAAATTGAATCCTGGTGTCATGTCACACACGTACATATCTAACCGACCAAACTGCTGTGCCGTCTTCAGCACAGCATTTTCCATCTGCGATGCATCTCCCGCATCAGTTTGGAGGAAGAAGGCTTGTCCTCCCTTTTGACTGATCGCATCGTGGGTAGTAATGTCCAGTTCATTCGGCACCGGCGAGCGTGCAGTCGGAGTGATGTCCGCACAGGCAACCTTGGCTCCTTCCCGAGCATAACGCAAGGCGATGGCCCGTCCGATACCCGAGGACGAGCCAGTGATGAGAGCAACCTTGTTGAGAAGACGCATGATGGTGACGAACTCTAGGGAGAGTATAGCTCGCAGCTAAGAGGAGAGGGATCAACCTGATATACCGATGACTCCTGGGCCCTCGTATCGAGGGACAGACATTGTCGGCCGACACGAGCTCGATGCATTCGTATTCCTGCAGCTGTTGAGTGGTCAATGGTGACTTCTGCTGCATGATACTGAGGGGGATTGACCTGTTGTTGGGGGTCGTGCGGGGTAGAGGCGGTCGATGCGAACCAGACAAAGAGATATCATCCCTTGCGGTCAATTGAGTTGCACAGCAGCAGCTCTCTCGGAGCATATCCGATGACATGATTGAACAACAAATACTGCATCTGCATGTACCCCACCTGCTGTTCCTCTTCTGGTGTACACTGTCATGGCCTTCGCGCCTAAAAGTGTCCAGAACGATATACTAAAGATTAGCTTAACAGGGTAGCAAGGCGAAGTGTTGTGAGAACAGTATAACCGATTTGAGAGACCCTCGTCCCAGAAGGTCATCCATGCGCCCGCCGTTTGTTGCCGCTATCGCTATTCCTCAGAAGGGAGGAGCACATTGCAAGTCCATCCAAGAGCCAGTATAGAAATGGACTAGCATTATTGATCGCGATCAAGCCACTGCTAGAGATACATGGTATATATATCATACAGTGCCATGTCTCCAAGAAGATCAAAAGCCGAGGGTAAGCAACTCATCAAGAAATTAACCAACATGCAAATGATAAAAGACTCTCGCACATGACACAATGAAGGTAGAAAGGTCAAGTCTCTAGCCGGCTAGTTAGCTATCAAATCCACCGATCAACACCATCCCTACAGTCCCAAGATAACCACATACATACAAGCATAGCCACACACACACCAGCTTCACCCAAATCATGCATCATCACGACTCATGTCTAAAATCCTATTAGCTCAGGAAAAAAAAAAGGGGGAAAGAAAAAGAGAAAAAAGGTAAAGAGGCGAGAGAAAAACTCTGATTCGGAAATATTTGCGAGGGATGATCGTAGACCTAATTAGGACGTGGGCTGTGCAGGAATGTTAGGGTGCAACGTGTCAAAAAATGAGAAAAGCCACCCCCTCCTTCACAAGGGGATACAGATATGCCATATGCAAACTTTAAACAACGGTAAAACATTGAGGGCCTCATTGGTTCATTATAAATGACATTCCCTTTGATTCAGACATCCACTATGGTCGGGGGGTATTTTCCACAGAGGTATGCTCGGGGAATAAAGGAGCAAGAACTTGTCAAGCCGAAATTTGTGCGATGCGTATGTTGATGAATGAATAGTCGATCATGTAGTACAAGGAAGAATGTTCACAACACGTCCTGACAAAAGTACGGGACGCCCATCTTAAGTAGGAGTATACAATCCAATGGTTCTGTTCCCAGCTTCAATCTATTCAGATCGATGTATCTACACATTGGCAAGGCTTCAACAGAAGTAGCCACAGCCATCGCCACGGCGGCGCTCTCGTGCTGAAGATAGTTCAATAGCGGTGGGGTGTTGAAATTTAAGATTAGGGTTAACGAAAGGATGCAAGGCATCGCAGTGCTAAGAGACTAGTGCATCGAAGGCGTTGCGAACCTAGAAAGAGGGTTCAATGTTCTATCCACAGTAGTACATTAGGTTGCTTCCGCGTGAAGCTTATGTGTAGGGCTCAATTACAACATCCGTTACCTCCGGCTCTTCAGTGTGACTTTGTAGCGACCACCGGTTGCGAAGCGCAGCTAAGCCCGACCCATTGCTTATTCGGTTGCTCCGTCGCACGCCAACGGAGCGCACCGTCATGTTGCGTCCCAGCCCAGTGGAACCAGGGCCACGGTTCTGCGCACTCTCTTCCAGTTTCAGTACCAGTCCAACCGCTTTGTGGTCTTCCGTGAGCTTGGGCCGTCGCTTGGCAAAGTACCGGGCATATTTGTACAGTGACCAGTAATTGCTTCCGACGTTGATAATGGCGATCATGATCTTGTATGGCATCTGCGTTTTCAGATTAATCTCGAATCAGACCCGCAATATTTCATTGGGAGGCTCATCTTACATAGTAAAACAGGATAATTTTCAAGCTGATCCGCTCCTGCTTCAATCGCAGGTGAATCTCGTTGAAGACAATGGCGTTCAGTAGGTACAGCGCGAATGTAGCCATGATGAGAGAAATGCAAAACTTTGGGCGGACGACGAGGGATACTGGGAGGACGAACGGGGCTAGAATAGCAAGGACAGTCTCATACAACTGATGCACGTCAGGTCTCATCGTTGATCTCAGAACTCCTTGAGAGGAGTTCAGGGGAAGAGAGGGTGGACATACCTCCTGCAGTACGAATAGTTTCGTGCCGATTTCGTAAACTCCCAACTTCCACGATTTCACGAGGTAAGTTACATTGTACCGCAGGCCGTTGACAAGAAAGAAGTTCCACCGCATGAATCGCTGCTTGAAAACGGTCATCTCCCCAAATCCACCCCGTCTTTTCCCGGGAGCGAAGAG